CTAAGTTGCTAGGTTGCCCGGGATGGCTTCAAACTCATGATCCTACTGCCTGCCTCAGCCTTTTGAAACTATTCCTTTGACCTTGGTGCTTAAACTAAGGTGCTGAGTTCTGTATGGATATTGGTTTCCAGGAGTTATAACACAATGTATGATCTATCCCTCATACCTATGGTGGGTTAAAGGACACAGATTCCAGCCCATCCTCGTGGGTTTTGTGCATGTGTTTGTAGGTATTATTTTCTCACTTCTAATTCTTTGCATAATTTAATATGTTTCACTGTAACTATACAACTGAGTCTTTGGATTACAGAATGCTCAAGTGGAAATGCGTGTAGAAGGGGCTGTATAGGTGCAGAGCCATCAGAAGGATGCACTGTGCAGTGAGGACATTACAGTCTTTTAGCTCTGGGTCTAGTTTCTTTCTTTCTTTTTTTTTTTTTGGTCCTGGGGATCGAACTCAGGACCTTGAGCATGCAAGGCAGGTGGCAGCACCACTGAGCTAAATCCCCAACCAATTTCTATACTCCAATTTCTATACTCTACTCCAGTCAGTCTCGGGGCAGAAAGATTTGACAATGTTTGGAAAAATGTGGCAACCCCCAGGGGCTTTTGGCAATGTCTGGAAACATTTTGGGCAGACACAACTGGGGGATCCATAGCACCTGAAGGATGCTGCACATCCTCAATCCACAATATGCGCCCCAAAACACCAATCACACCAAGTTTGAGAAACCCTGTTCTATTCCATGATGCAATGGTGGGTCTTCAAAAACACCATTTTCCCAACTACAGGTAAGTGCAACCACTGTACTCAGATCAGACTGAATGAAAAAGTCCAACCAACCCTGAAAGATTACATACTGTCTAACTGACTTACATAACATTCTTGAAATGACAAGATTATAGAAATAGAAAATGGATTAGTGACTGCCAGGAGTTGGGAACAAGGGCTAGGGGATTATGGAAGAGGGAAGGTGAGTGTGGGATCCTTGAGCTAATGGATGTGTCCTGTATCTTACCTGCATCAATGTCAATGTAATGACATAACAGCAACAATGTAGTATCATTGCTGTAGTTTTACAAAACACTACAGTACTACTAAGGAGAAATGAGAAAAGGGTACACAGATTCTGTCATTTTATTCTTATAACCATGTTAATCTGTAATTATTAAAATACTGAATGTTTTAAATGTTTAACTTTTAGTTCCCATAATGTTCCATCTTGTCAATAAGAAAATGCTAATTGGGCCGGGGATTTGGCTCAGTGGTTTCGCCGCCTGCTACCCAAGTGCAGGGACCCAAGTTCGATCCCCAGTACCAAAAAAAAAAAAAAAAGAAAAGAAAATGCTAATAACTTTATGAATCACCTAACAAGAAGTCAATACATCTTATTAAATAAGTGCCCATTCTAATTTTTCAGAATTATATAACAAGGCATGGTGGCACATGCCTGTCATCCCAGGACTCAGGAGGCCGAGGCGGGAGGATCACCACATGTTTGAGGCCAGCCTGAACTACACAGTGAGTTCAAAGCCAGCCTGAACTACCTAGCAAGACCCTGTCTCAAAAAAACAAACCATCACCAAAGAAAAGAAAGCATAGCATAGCATAATGGGAAGCATACCATACTCACAAAAACAAAAATACCAAATACTAGGAATAAACTTAATAGAAAATATTTAGACAGAATATTATGGAAAGAGGAAATAAAGAATAGATTCCCCGTTAATTAATAACTATAATATCAGTTAACTAAAGTGAACTGCTATTTCTAAAATATTTCATAACAAGCTGGGCATGGTGGTGCATACCAGTAACTCCAGCACTCAGGAGGCTGAGGCAGGATTGCCCCAAATTCGAGGCTAGCCTAGACTACAAAGTGAACTCAAGGCCAGTCTGAAATACATAGCAAGACTGTTTCAAAAAAAAAAAATTCACACCAAAATATAAATTATACAAATAAGTAAGAAAATATCTGTTTGTTTCCTCTCGTTCCATACCACAAGAGACTGTTTGGCATCTGTTATAGACTGAATTATCTCCCCCAAAACTCACAGGCTGAACTCCTAACCATAGTACCTTAAGATGTAACAAGATTTGTAATTTGCAAATGGAGTCTTTAGAAATTAAAATGAGTCATTAGGGTGGGCTCTACTCAGTATGACATAGCTTTCTAGGAAGAGGACGACTGCACTATGTAAAATGGACTTTATCCACACTCACACAGGCAATGGCAACTCTTACCCCATCTCCAGCCTGCTCTGCAGGTTTCAGTCTGCTGGACCCACAAATGTGTGAGTTAGTTCCTCTCCTTAAACCATAGTGTGTGTGTGTGTGTGTGTGTGTGCGCGCGCGCGCACACATATATATACATCCTATTGGCTATTTCCCTGGAAAACCCTAACACACACGCTTTTCCAACATCTTCCATAGGCTTTCAGTTTTGGTTAGATAAAGCAGAACTATCTTGAAGATTTCTAAGCCAACTGATCAATGGGTCATAAGGATTATACATGCCTCCTCTTTTAAAATGCCATTTGTAATGAAGCTCCCCTGTCTCTTTTTCATCAACTCTCCCACTTCCTAAAGTACATTAAAAACTACAGAAACATATGTAGGAATTAATTTTAAAATCAATGAAAAGTGTCACTAAGTCAAAAAATGATGATTAAAAATATCTGTAGCAAATATAGCATGGATTATAAATAAGTATTAGAATGATGGATCAAGTACACAGAAAAGATTATTCACAGAAGAAACATACATAGAAATAGATATGAAAAAGTCTTCAGTCTCAATAAATACCAAAGACATTCAAATAAAAGTATTTTCTAACTTGAATTAGAAGAGGTTTTTGTTTTGTTGTTGTTGTTGTTGTTGTTACTGGGGATCGAATTCGGGACCTTGTGCCTGCAAGGTAGGCGGAAGCACCACCAAGCTAAATCCCCAGCCCAGAAAAGTTTTTATAAATAGTCATGTGTCACTTAATGACAGGGATAAGCTCTGAATGTTTTGTTGTGAAACATCAAAGTGTACTTAAACCAAGACAGTTACAAAAACACTATGTGATATAATCTTATGCAGCACATGACTATATTACATCTGAGGTACAGGTGGTTAAATGATACATTTATTAATGCTTAAAGTATAAACAGAATCAGTTTTAAAAGCATCTGCCAATGCCACAGAGGCCTTAGAAACCATTATACTCTGGTCAGTAGTCTCATTTTCTCTAAAAAAAAAAAAAGGGGGGGGAGGGGGGTCCTGAAGAAATAATAAATCAGGGCCAGAGATTTAGCTCAGTGGTGCCACCGCCTGTCTTGCAAGCACAAGGTCCTGAGTTCGATCTCTGGTAACCCCCCAAAAAAAGAAAGAATAAATTAGATGGAAAAACTTGAGCCTATCTTACAGCAAACTCTAAAAAGTGCTACAGTACGGATATGAGCAAACTATATGGAAACAAGTATGAGACAAAATAATTTTGAAAAACTTGAAGATTTCTTACAAAAGCTATGATTTAAGTTTGGCTCAAGTACCAAATACTAAAGTATTTCAAACAGAAACTTCAGCATGTATCTGTTTTTAAATTTCCCAAATGAAACAAGCAAGTGGAATGGTTGTTTGTAACACCTGAATACAGATGAGTACACGGGAGTGCAGGACAGGGCTGGTGAAAGGTTATTAATTATAGGAAAACAGCCTGGGTCTCTGCTGCTGTGAACAAACTTGTCCTGCATGCAGAGAAGAGCTAGCTAGTGTTCGTAAGCAAATCCATCTGAGGAAGAAAATCCTAGCAGCAGAGTGTAAAATGGTTTGGGACAGAGGGGAGTTTTTAGAATCAAGAAGTCCAGTTAGAAGAAATCCAGTGAGAGAAATCCAGTGATCTCAGACCATGAAATAAGTGGATGGGAGATGAGAGGCACAACTGTCTGCACTTGGCAGCTTAACAAACCCTGGGCCCCTAAGGGAGAAAAGGACATAAGCACCCCACTTTAATTCTCAGTGACAAGGAGCACAGGAAGAACAGATTCAGGAGGATAAACTGAAAATGGAATTTGTTTTGGACACATTACATTCAAGAGAACTGGCAGATGCCTGGAAACGTCACATTCAAATCCAGGCCTCAGAGATAAGTTTAAAACAAGCATCAAAATTGTACTTTAAGTTACTGAAAAGTAAAAGAGGAAGTGTTCAGTAATAAAGAGAGCAAAACAGACTTAGGGAACAAGGACTGAACCTCTGCCTGGAGAGGTATAGTGAAGTGTCACAAATATTTAAGAAAGTCAAGCAGGTAAGTATGGAGATGGAGCCATCAAATTTAGCAATTACTATGGTATAAGGGTATATATGAAAGCAGTTTCTATAATATGAAGTCTGTCCCTTACTCAAAAAGTTAAACATAGAATTACCATATAACCCAACAATTCTAATCCTGGATACATACTCCGAAGAATGGAAAATGAAGACTACAGATACATGTAAACACATGTTCATAAGAACATTACTACAAGAGCTAAAAGGTGGGAAACAACCTCGTGTCCATGAAAGAATATTACTCAACTGTGAAAAAGAATAAAGTATGACACATGCTACAATATTTCTGACCCTCAAAAACATGGGGAGTAAGGCAGACATAAAAGGACAAGTATTGTATGATTCCACGTATATAAGGGCTCTACAATAGGCAAATCTATAGAGACAGAAATGGGCTATAACCAACCACAAAAAACAGATTTTTTTTCTGAGAAACCAGACACGCCACGGGGCTCCTTCCACTCGCTCTGGTTCTGTGCACGCTCAGAATGTCCCACACTTATTTCTGGGCACAATTTGTTTTCTTTAGGACCGAAGAACGCTGCTCTGGACCTCATTTTTCCGTCAAGGAAACGCGGCTGCTGAGGAGGACAACAGCACGGAGCCGGACCCGCCCGCCTCCCGCCGCCTCAGCTGCCGACGGAGGCCGCGCGGGGTCAAGTGCCGCCGCCCGTCCGCTACTCACCGCGACGCCTGCAGCCCAGGAACGCGGCCTTCCGGGCCTCGGGCTGCAGCATCTTCCCTCCCGCCACAGCCCGGGGCCCTGCGGCACGAGCCGCTACGGCCGGAGCAGCCAGAGTTAGTGTAGCAGGGTGACAGGGCAGCCGAGCGCGTGGCGCAGGCACGGGGCGCGGTGAGGCGGCCCCGAGCCTCGCCCAGTCCCCACGCGGCAGGCTAGCTCTAGCGCCGGGCCTCCGCCGGCGCCTCGTCAGGGCGACCCCGCCCCCGTGGCTGACGTCATCGTCCGCAGCGCTGACGTCACCGGCATGCGCGCGGACCTGGCGCTGCTGTGGCGCGCGTGTTGTTTTAGTCTGTTTCAGTAAAAGACTTGATATAAACGAGCTTTACACGTACTCACAAGATGTCACTATCGCTTATGGTGAGAGACATGTAGGTTAAAATGTGAAGAAAGAAGCTGAGAGAAACGGCTCATGTTTGTGGTAAGAGAGCCAAAGTATAAACCCCTCAGGAATTTGGCGACGAACCCAGCGGATGGGGTTTAACCGCCGCGAGTGCCAGATGGTCAGGAATTTCTAACATTTTTTTAGAAAAGCATTGCTTCACAATCAAGGTCTAATGAGGGAATCGAACATGCCTAGGCCGGAAATTGTGCATGCCTGGTAAAGTAAAAAAATTCCGAGAAAAGTAAAAGCACCTGAACCAGAGCAATGACCCTTTGAGCAGAAGGGCGCAAACCACGTGGTCTTGCTGGTTTTCTGGATTAGGAACTCGGCCAAATACCTGACAGCGTTGTCCTATGGGGGGGGGGGGGTCCTGCTGTGCCAGCCAGGTTAGCCCTCGGCACTGAGGACTCATTTCCCCAGGTGTTGGGTATATGAGCAGCTCATGACAACGCCCCCACCCCCATTTGGGGTTTTGTGTGGCCCTTGCCCTCGGCCTAATTGGTACCAGGTGGAATACCTGTGATCTTGCCTACCTCTGTCGGGCAACAATTCACCTTGGCTAGATTTAACATTTATTTCAGGTGGGAGTTTCTCTTGCAAAGTTAGAACACAGCATCACCAAGTCTACCTCAATGGTTACAGCTCACATAAAGAGCAAATTTTATATTTTGGGCTCCAAGTTTTATATTTTGGAAACCTGATCCTGCTGGGAACCCCTCAGAAAACTATCCATGGCAATGGCGAGGAAACAGGTGAAGTCTACTAGATACATTTAAAAGTGATGTAAAGAGTTTATTCAAATATGTAAATATATACCTGAAACTACAACCATCCAAGTGAATTTACAATGAAATATTTTACACTGCCCAAATCAGAAAGATTATTTTTTAGAAAGATTATTAACAACTGCTTCACAAAGCTGTACATCAATAAATTGGAGAATTCAGAAGAAATGGATAAATTCCTAGATAACATATGAATTGCCAAAACTGAACGAAGATTTAAAAGCCCTGAATAATCCAATAACAGGCAATGTAATTGAAACAGTAATTTAAAACCTACCAACTAAGAAAAGCCCAGCTCCAGATGGATTCACTGCCGAATTCTAAAAAAAAAAACTTAAAGAAAGATTTAGCACCAACATTCCTTAAGGTCCTTAATGAAATTTAAAGGGAAGGAGTACGCCCCATAGTCATAGTCATTCATGGAAGCTACCATTACCTTGATTCCAAAATCAGAAAAGGATCCAACCAAAACTGAGAAAATAGATGCAAAATGAATATAGATGCAAAAATCCTCAGCAAGTTACTGGCAAACAGAATGGCAACAAATTATCAAAAAGATCACATATCATGACCAAGGAGGATTCATCCCAGGAATGCAAGGATGATTCCACATGTGTAAATCAATAAATGTAATACATAAACAGAAGCAAGGAAAAAAAATCATAATCATCTCAATTAGATGCAGAAAATGCTTTTGACAAAATCCAACATCCTTTCATGATAAAAACATTGATGAATATTGGTACAGAAAGACCTTATCGCAGTCTGATAAAGGCGATTTATGACAAGCTACTGCCAATATCATATTAAATGGGGAAAAATTGACAGTTTCCCCTCTAAAATCAGGAACAAGACAAGGATGCCACCATGACTACTCCTGTTCAATATAGTACTCAAAACAGCCAGAACAAACAATCACGTATGAAAAAGAAATAAAAAGGATATGTATAGGAAAGGGAAAAGTCAAATTCTTATTAGTTGCAAATGATAAGATCCTCTACACAGAAGGCCAAAGAAAAAATCCTCCAAAATATTCTTAATAACTAAATTCAGTAATGTATCAGGACACAAAATCAATAGTGTTTCTGTACACTAATAACCCACTGAGAAAGAAATTAGGAAAAAAAATACCATTCATAAGAGCACAAAGAAAATTAACAACTTAGGAATTATCTTGACTAAAGAAGTGAAAGACCTCTACAATGAAAACTACAGTCCTCAAAAACAGTAAATAAAGTGGAACATCAGAAAATGGGAAAATATCTCCTATTTCTGGATAGACAGAATCAATACAGTCAAAATGGCCATACTTTCAAAATTGATATGCAGATTTAACACAATCCCAGTCAAAATACCAATGCCATTCTTAACAGAAATGAAGAAAACAATCCTAAAATTCATATGGAACCAGAAGAGACCCAGAATTGCAAAAGCAATCCTGCGTAAGAAGAGCAAAGTGGGAGACGTCACAAGCCCAAACTTGAAGTTATATTATAAAGCTACTGTGTAAAAACAGACATGAGGATCAGTGGAACAGAATAGAGGATGTAGAAACAACCCCAAACACATTCAACTATTTGATCTTTAACAGAGGGGCCAAAAACACACACTACAGGGAAGATAGCCTCTTTAATAAATGATGTTGGGACAACTGACTGTCCATATACAGAACATTGAATCTAGACCCATATCTCTCACCATGTACTAAGTTAAAATCAAAATCGATCAAAGAACTAAATGTTAAAACAGAAACTAGGCTGGAGATTTAACTCAGTAGTTCCACCACCTGCCTTGCAAGCGCAAGATCCCGAGTTCAATCCCCAGTACCTAAAACAAAAAACAAAAGAGAGAAACAACCTTCTGGAAGACAAAAAAAGTAAAACTCTTGAAGTCATAAGTGTAGGCAAGGACTTTCTGAAAGAACCCCAGATGCATAGGAAATAGTACTGAGAATCAAAACAATGGGATCATATCAAATTAAATAGTTTATGCACAGCAAAAGAAACAACCAAGTTTAGAGACAATCCACAGAATGGTAAAAACTTTTCATCTATTCCTCAGACAGAAGACTAATACCTGGAATATATAAGAACTCAAAGAATTAGACCCCCCCCCAAGTAAAAGACTTAATCAAGAACTTGGCAAGTGAAATGAATAGGCACTTTTCAGAAGTACAAATGGCCAATGTATAATTGAAGAATTGCTCGACATCGCTGGTCATTGGAAAAATGCAAATTAAAACAGCATTGAGATTCAGTCTTTCCCCAGAAACGATGACCAATTTCAAGAAATCAAATAATAACAGGCCAGGGATTTAGCTCAGTGGTTCCAGCACCTGCCTCACAAGTGCAAGGTCCCGAGTTCGATCCCTGGTACCAAAAAAAAAAAAAGAAAAAAAGAAAAAAATCAAATAATAACAAATCCTGGCCAGGCTACAGGAGTAAAAGGAAACCATTCTACATTGTTTGTAGGAATGTAAACTTGTACAATCACCATGAAAATCAGTATGGAGGGGCCGAGGATTTAGCTCAGTGGTTTCACCACCTGCTTCGCAAGCACAAGGACCTGAGTTTGATCCCTGGTACCAAAAAAAAATCAGTATGGAGATTCCTCAACTAAAACTAGAAATTACTTTTGATCCAGCTATTTCAAGAACCTTCCCAAAAGAATTAAAGTCATAATATTATAGTGATACACGCACACCCACGTTTTTAGTGGCACAATCTTGGAAGTGGCCTGTATGTCCATCAGCAGATGAATAGACAAAGAACATGTGGTGTTTACACGCAATGGAGTCTTACTCTATCATAAAGAAAGATAAATGAGTTATTTGTAGGAAAATGGATGTACCTTGAAACCATAATGTTAAGTGAAAGAAATCAGACACATAAGCTTAAATATCAAGTGGTTTCTCTTATATGAGAAACTCAAAGTATAAATAAGGAGCAAAATAAAAGATAGTAGGAAGTAGGGAGATAGAGCTTAAAGGTGAAGGGGGTCAAGAAAGGGATGGAGGGGGAGGAAAGGGGATGAAAAAAAGGAATTGCCAGGCATGGTGGCACATGTCTGTAATCCCAGCACTAAGGAGACTGAAGCAGGAGGATCACCCTCAATTCAAGGCTGGCCTGGGTTACATAGTAAGTTCAAGACCAGCCTGACATACACAGTGAGACCTTGTCTCAACACACAAACACACACACACACACACACACACACAAGGAATTAAGATGTGTTATGTACATGTACCAACTCCACACAAGGAATGTAAACATTATGTAATGGAAACGTACTAAAACAAACAAACAAAAAAACTAAGACTTAATATTAGGTCTATGACTTTAAAAAGAGAGAAAACACTTCTGTCATTTTCTTTTCACAAAGCTGATATGTCCAACATACATCCTTTACACTTATCACCAAAACAAAAAACATTCTCAAACTTCAAAACTAGAAAAAAGTTATTACTTTAAGAAGATGGCCAGGGATTTAGCTCAGTGGTTCCGGTGCCTGCCTTGCAAGTGCAAGGTCCCAAGTTCGATCCCCAGGACCAAAAAACAAAAACAAACTTTAAGAAGATACTCCATGTTTATATTACATAATTCTCCTTTTTCCTTCAAGTACAGAGTTTCCAAATATCCTAATTTTAATAGATTTATTAAATTTAATAATTTTAATAAATTTAAGATTTAATAATTTTAATAGGTTTATTACCTATGAATTCATATATTTTATGAATTCTAGAATTTTTATGACTTTCTAGAAGCATGTCAAGCATCATATATAGTCCAAGTATATAATCATATTGTGGCATTTCTTTGGGGCTGCCACATCAACCTACTAAAGGCTCAAATTACTCTGGCCATTTGTCATATATCAGCCCCAGTTTTTTCCATGTTTATCTAGCAATAGGTTTTTGTATAGTGTTTTGCTAAGTAGACTTGGTATAAAGAGATTATTAACCAGTTCTTTTTATTTACATGTATATATGGTCTCAAAAACATAAATTCAGCAGGGGTAAGTTCCTTGCTGCCTTCCTGGTCCACTGTTTACTGAGTGTAACAGACCAGTCAAATTGTCTCCTGTGTTGCATGGACTCATCTTTTCTCTCGCAAGGACTGTGTTTTGAGATCCTATCAGAAGTCTCCCCCATTTCTTTCATTGGCCCTTTCAATAGGTTCCTCCCCTCAGTTTCTCTCTTTATTGTCTTTCACCTTCCTAACCACCTTCACCAGGTTGAAGCCCACAGATCCCTCCAACCCCACCTTAGCCATCTGGGAGTGTGTTCTCACAGATGGGACACCAGCCAGACACAGGAGGGCTCGGACACAAAACAGCAAAATCAGAAGCAGAGAGGAGGGAGTGACTCAGACAGAGAGAAGGACAAAGGAGGAAGCACCCTGGAGGACAGAACCAAGATGTGCATCAAGTGGATGGTACATCAGACTCAGGAACCCAACCAAGCAAGGTGTCAGTCCCAGCTTCTATGCTGGCAGCAAGAAAATACCTTGGTCCAGCTCAGCCCATGTCAGTATGTGCCAAGATGGCTCCCTGTAAAAAAAAAAAAAAAAAAGATGGCTCCCTGTAAATGTCTTCCTAAGGCAACCATGTCAGCTGCTCTGTTTGGAGCAGAAGTCAGGTTGGCAAAAGCTCTAGAGCAGCATGGGTCCGTATAAGACCAGTAAGTGACTTTGGTAAATAACTGCAAACAACACGCTTTCCCCCGATTTATTATATGCTTGAGTTTCAACTGTGAGACAGCTTACATTTGGAATGCTCAGGGTCCTGCCACCCCAGGAATTCAGTGGCAGTGAGCAACAAAAGATTAGGAATTGTCATTAAGGGGGAAAACCAACACTCCCAATGTAGGTCATTCTGGTTGTATTTCTTATTGCATTTCCCATTATTCCATGATGTTCCAAACTTGTTCTCTGGTGCCACCATCTTGAAGGACCAGGGGACTTCTTAACTATTAATAAAAATGACTTGTTTTCCTTTCATTAGCTGTTCATAGATGCCTCCAACTCTGGGAAGACGGTATCCAAATACCACTGAAATGACTTGCAACCCAATCGTTTCCTTAACTGAACACGTTCGCTGATGTTTCCATAAGTCATGGATTTCAAACCAGGGTTTCGAAGAAAGAACTGCTCCTAAATGAAAATAGTCATTTCATTAAGTCAAACAAATCTTTGATAATCAACATGATATCAGACATAGCAGCATATGTTGTCATCATCTCAACTGCGGATGCCCTTCCTTCTGTGTGGGGAGCAAGAGCAGAGATACCTATGGGACCTCAGAGCAACTCGCCAATACTGAGTCACTGTCCATGCCATGGCACAGGTCAGGTGACACAATGGAGTCCAGGGAGACTGAGTTCTGCTTCTCAGAAGGCAAAGGAATCACAGCTACCTACTGTAGTGGCCTCTTTATTCTACTCTCAACAACTCAAGGACCAATTAATACTTCCATCTTTTCAGAATAAGGGATGGTGTGGTGGCTAGGGGAGAATGGACTCTAGGGCTAGGGGAGACAGACTGGGTTCCAGTTCTGGCTCTGCCACTAATTACTTGTGACGTTGGCTGAGTTCTTTGTGCCACCTCCCATCATGAAGTCACTGAGAACTAAGCACTTTATGTGTGCAAAGCCCCTGGGAGAAGAAGACTGTCAGGTTTGTGTTGGTCCTTACTAGCACATCTGATTAAGATCTGATGTACTTTGACTTAGGAAGCACTAAGGATGACTGCCTAAAGGACTCCACTAGTTGTATGTTAAGGGAGGCATTCTAAGTAGACTGAAACTTCTTTGGAAGCAGAGCCTTTGTATTTTCATCTATCTGTTCCCTATGGTTGTCATGCAATATAGCAACAGTACTGAAAGAGAAGGAGCTGCCTTATCAAAGTTACAGGCCGCATAGTTCCCAGGGTGGACTGGTGCAGAGCATGGGACAGAAGTGTGGGAAGGTGTCATCATTTTGGCAAAGTGAGGCATGGGTGGCCCTTGGGTAACCTATTTAAGTCCAAAGCCCTCTCATACCCAGTCACCCACTAAATTTTGCAATGTGCTGTGTCATACAATCTGTTGATTGTCTACCTAACATTATGTGCTTTTAAATTAACTTTTTGGCAGCTTATGCTTTGCTAAATTGGCCAAGCCACTCAGGAATAGTTTGATTCAATTGCCCAGATCTATGATGAGGACTCATAGGAAACCAAAAATCAACAAATGTGAAAATGAGCTCAAGTTCTCTCATAGCTAAATGAAATAGTTATTTGAAACATTGGGATATTATTTTAGTCTATCATATTAGAAGAAATATACAGTTTAATTATAAGCAATGTGGGGAGATGGGCACTGTCATATACATTTGATGACAGTGTACACAGAGAAGGGACAGTTATTCATCAGGATTTTTTTTTTTTTTTTGAGATAGGGTTTCACTATGTAGTTCAGGCTGGTCTTGAACTCACTATGTAGCCCAGGCTGGCCTTGAACTCAAAGTGATCCTCCTGTATCAGCCTCTTGAGTGCTGGGATTACACCTGCGTGCTACCTTGCCCAGCTCTCATTTTAAACACATTAACTCATGCCCCCAAAAGTCCTAATCTTGAGATGTATTCTAAAGATATATTTGCATAAATGTGCAAAAATATATGTGTAAAAGATGTTCATTTCAATGTTGCCAAGAAGTAACATTGGGGATGATTAGAATGTTTACCAGTGGGTCCTATTTATTAACAGGATCAATTTAGGTGGATCCATTTGAAGGAAGTATATAAAATAATATTTTTATATGTCCTGATTTTTAAAGATAATCTAGAAGTATGTTTTCAAAGCTTTTCTTTGGTACCAGAGATCGAACTTGGGTCCTTGCGCTTGAGAGGCAGGCCGCAGAACTACTGAGCTAAATCTCCGGCATATGTTTTAAAATATAGTAACAAATGAAGAACATTTCAGAACAAAATATTATGTGAATCTAGTCATGAAAAAGAAAATAATATTTTCTAGTGCACATGTGTGTTAATAAGCAACTATAAAGACTAACTCTGTAATTACCTCTGAGGACTGGAACACAGGGCTTAGAAAATTTACTTTTCCTTTTATATACAATACTTCAGGACTGTTAAAACTTTCAAATGAGCATAGTTCACTGTTTTAAAAATAATTTTTTAAAAAATCAAGAAATATAATAAACATACAAAAAGTACATAAAATATAAACGTGCAACTTAATGATTTGTTGAGAACCAACCTCAGTAACCCCAACTCAAGAAATAAATATGGCCAGTGTCTCAGAAGTCCCATGCCTTCTCTTTCCTCATCATAACCTTCTCTCCTTGTTTAAATGCTATCTTGATTATGTTCTTTCTTTCTCACTTTTTCACATACAAATTTTATAGTTTAATTTTACTCACTTTAACATTATTGAAAGAGAAGAATACACTACATATGCTATTGTGTTTGCTTTTATTCACTCTTACATCTTTAAGGTTCACCCATGCTAGGAGAGATGGTAGGAAACAGGGAGATAGAGTTTTTGAAGATGAGTAAGGGGCTCAGGGGAAGCAGGGAGAAGAGGGGGAGGACAAGAGAATCTAAATGAGCAAGGTAAATATAAATATATATTTATATATATATATGCCAATTCTCTAAAATAGCTATTATGTACTGTAAACATATACCAATAAAAAAAAAGATTCACCCATGCTTCTCTTGTGTGCATATCTACAGGTGGTAAATTTCACAACTATAACTTACAGTGATTAACTATGCTACCTGGAGCCATTCTACTCTAAGATGAAGATTTGGATCACATTCAGCTTTGGCTAACACACACAATGCTGTTTACATTCTTGTTTCTGTGTCTCAGTCCCCAAAAGCATTAGAAGCAAATTTAAAGATTCAGCTGGGTGTAGTGGTTCATGTTTGCAATCCCTGCACTCTGGGGAGCCCAGGCAGAAGGATTCCAAGTTAAAGCCCAGCCTAGACAACTTAGTGAGACCTTGTCTCAAAATAAGAATTAAAAAAGGAGCTGGGAATGTAGCTTAGTGTGAAGGTTCTGGATTTAATTTCCAGCACTGAAAAAATAAAATTAAAATATGATTTGCACATAGGGATGGGGGCAGAGAGAGGCTATTTGCTTTGGGAATTAGGGGACAATTCTTCAGGAAAAAATAGTTTTGAGGAGGAAATATTTATCATGTTGGTTTGTTCATTTCTGAGACACTTGAATTTTCCTGAAAATTAAAATTATTTATTTATTTGTTGGTTTCTTTGTCCCCTTTGGGGTACTGGGGATTGAACTCAGGACCTCGTACTTGCCAGGCTGGCGCTGTGCTACTGAGCTAAATCCCCAGCCCCTAAAAATTAAAATTTGATAAATGAAGTGCAAGTAGGCCAGCTTGGAATGAACTAATTGAGAACAGGTCCAGGGAGGGGTAGATGAGTAGTTGAGGGGGCGCTGTTGTGCTACAGAGAAGAGAATAACAGCCAGGTCTGGAAAGGCAGCAGGATGCATCTTGGGCACCTGTCCCCCACCTTGTATTCGTCCAGCCAAATGTGCACCAGCCTCAGATAGTTCCGGGCTACGGCTTTCCTGAAGGTGCTGTCACTTCTCGAACTCTTCTTTGGGATATGTCCCACTCGGGAGCAGGGGATTACAAAGAGTTGACCTCCACACATCCAGATCTAGACAAAAGAAAAACAAAACACAAGTGAAAGTGTCTTTGCCAGCAACAGGCACCTGCTGGGTTCTGTTTACAAACATCAAAATGGCTAATGTTTATTAAACTTGTTTCACTTAATCCTCATGACAGTCCATGATTACCCCCACTTTGCAGATAAGGAAGATAACACAAAGATGAGTTAAGCAGTTTGCCCAACTTCACAGACCGGGTAAGTGGCAGAGGACTGGGCTCAAGTTAAGGAAGTCTGTTCTGAGGGGCAGCACCCTGAGTGCCAAGGACTCTACTCTCGTGCTAAGTATTGTCTGGTATAAGTAATTAGAGAAATGCCAGTCCTGCCTGGATTCAGTTATTTGTGCATCCTTTTGTACTTAAAACATAATACTTATTTTTAAATTTTATTTTAGACAGGGTCTCATTGTGTAGTTCAGGCTGGCCTTGAACTTGAAGGGATCGACCTGCTTCAGCCTCCCTAGTGCTGAGATTATAGGTATGCTACCATGCCCAGTTTAACACCTATTTTTAATAACTTTTTTCACTATATGAAGGTATGATATAGTCATTGACAACTTGGCAAATACAGGAAAGCACACCGAAAAAAACGAAATTCACTTCTCATCCCAACATTCTGGGTTAGTCAATATAATTCAGCTGTGGATACAGAGACACAAACACACACAACATTAAGATAATTTTCTCTGTTCATCTGATGTTATATAAAATTATTTAAAAAGTCTCACGTGGTTTTGGATACTTTGGTAGTTTCCAATTTCTATTATTATAAAAAAGACCATGAAAAATGCCCTTATCCTATAAATCCTGGGCCCGGGATTTAGCTCAGTGGTTCTACCGCCTGCTGCTCAAGGGAAAGGACCCGAGTTCGATACCCGGTACCAAAAAAAAAAACAAAACTAAAACTAAAACTAAAAAAAACCCTATAAATCCTGTGCAGGTGACCTGCACCCTACGGTGCATTTGCCAGTACTCTTCTGTTTATTTGAATTCAGTGGCTTCCACATGGTTCCAGTCCAACCAGCACCAGATTGCTTGGGTACTGAGTAGAAATGCAAATCCCTGGGCCTAGGGACCTCCTAAGCCAGAAACCAGGGCTGGGGTCCAGCACTTGGGGCTTTTTTTGGAGACAGAGTCTTACTCTATTCAGTCTGGCCTTGAACTCACAGCAATCCTTCTGCCTCAGCCTCCCAAAGGCTGGGATTACAGACATGCCCTGGCAGTAATCAGGGCTTTAACCTACTCTTGATGTGATTCTGTTCCACCTAGAGGTGGATGGCCGTATTCCAGTTGATCAAGACCATATATCCTGATTCTGCAGACAGTTTTTGAGGAAATCCACTTAATTGATTTGGAAACAGTAAGAGGAAATAAAAATCTTCACTAAAAACCATTCTGGGAAATATCGCTCAGACAACAAGAAGGGATACTAAAATGGAAAAGCTTAGTCAATCAAAAGAGAGTACGTTAGAGAAACTAGGGAAGCAGAACTTCTGAAATCACACAAGGCCTGATTGATTACTGATATAGCCAACCCCTAAAGTGCTTTAGAAATACCAGAATTCAGTCGGGTGTGGTGGCACATCTGTAATTCCAGCATTCGGGAGGCTGAGGCAGGAGGATCACCATGAGTCCAAAGCCACCCTTCGCTACATAATGATTTCAAGGCCAGCCTGAACTATGTAGTGAGACCCTGTCTCAAAAAAAGAAAAAAAAAGAAATACCAGAATTCCCCACCTACTGTCTAGAAAACTCCTCCAGAATGTAGAGCCTTAAGCCAAACATCCGAAGATTTAGGTTCTTCGATCAGCCCTGCGATGCTTATGATTCGACAGATCCTCTCTGTATCTCATTTCCATCTGTACCCGGGTGATACATATTTGCTGATTTAAACTTCTGTTCTGGGGTGCTTAGTTATAAGCAAAAGCAGTGACAGGGATGAGGTACCTATAATGCTTTATTCTGTTTTCTTTTCTTTCTTTCTTTTTTTTTTTTTTTTTGGTACCAGGGATCGAACTCCGAACCTTGCACTTACAAGACAGTTGGCAGAACCACTGAGCTAAATCCCCAGCCCTATTCTTTTCTAAAAAGTGAACATGAAAAAAAAAAGTGAAAATGTAAGGATGTTTGAAACATTAATATCAGGTTCAGAAACAGTATAGAGCTGAGCTGGCTGGATCTCAGGACCTGAAGTTGAGAATGAGACAGGAAGCAATAGGTTTGGAGCACAGTACTTGTGAATTCTGTGAATTAGGACAAATTACTCAACCTCTACATCTGTTTCCCCATTAAAAGTAAGAGATACCTGTGGCAGCTACCTCACAGGTTTGCTGAGGATTAAATGAGTTAATAGCTGTAAGCCTTCATAGCAGTGAATGGCAGGTATAATAAGAATTTGTTAAATAAATAAAATGCATCATATCCTTTACATCTTCAATATTACTTCTTTAGGGAACTCATGTAAGATACACATCTTCTCCCAAATGCGGGTAGGTTCCCCTTTTATATGATCTCATAGTACTCTGTATTTCTCCTTTGTGTTTATCAAAAATTGGGTTAAATAACTGATACCTCAGTGGAATAGATAGCTCATGGCACTGGCAATCACTTTCGTATTGTGTACTGCTGTATTTTTGCACCCAGCGCTGTGCTTTTCACACTCAATTGCTGAATGAATGAAGAGAGTTGTAGCTCCTGAATACCCAGCATGCCGCGCAGCTTGACTCAGAGGATGAGCTCCTTAAATAAAGGCTAAACTGAACTTTAAAAGAACCCTGAAGGCTGAGTGTGGGTGTACGCACCTGTAATCTCAGCACTTGGGAGGCTGAGGCAAGGACTGCTGAAGGTCAAGGCCACCCTGGGCTACCATAGCAAGTCTCCATCTCAACAAAAGAAAGAAAGAAAAAGAAAAAAAGAAAGGCCTAAGGGGAACTATAGGTTGGGATTTGCTGCCAGTCGGGTGTTAGTTACAAGTGTGCAGGCTGTTGCAGGGATGCTATTAGGATGATTAGCAAGGCTGCCGCCTAGACTCTGGCTGATCTGAACAGCTGTGCCCTGCCAGGTACTCTCCCTCCAAGGACGACTAGCTCAGGGCAGAGGTTCCTTCACATCATCTTGGCCAACACTGTGGCTTCCCCTTCCCAGGTGCGATATGGCTGGAGGCCAGAGCCTCAGAGAGCACAAGGGTGAGAAGTCGGCCAAGGGAACTGGGAGCCACTGGGCTGCGGAAGTGAGGTCTAGGATGCGGGGGAGGGGAGGTTCAGGCTGCTGATTCCCTGGAACGAGGAGGAACGGGAAATGAAGATGCGTGTGCAGCTGTGCAGATGATTCTTAGGAAAGACAAAGTCGGAGACAGCTGCAAGTGTCAATTGCTTTACTGGTTAGCAATTTACACATTTGTAGGGGGCCTGGGATTTAGTTCAGTGGTGCCGGGAGCCTGCCTCGCAAGCGCAAGATTCTGATTTCGATCCAGGTACCGGAAAAGGAAGAAGAAAAGAAAGCAATTTACACATTTGTTTATGAAAACAGAGACCTAAGCATACTTAAAAGATACAAAGGGGCTGTTAGGAATGGAGTGGTTGAAACGCTGGAGTAGGGTAATTAAAATATCAGAATAGCATGTTCGTTGTTCATTTGCTATCTATGGGAAGGCACAGACATAAAAAGGAACACACTTGCTTTTTAAAATATGCATGTGTCACTTGCAAAATAGACTCTATTTTGAGACACAGATGTGCTTATTATTGGTTCCCAAATGGGGGAAATTCCTTTTACAAAATTATCAGAGGGCAATGCAATACACTAAGGGATCATTGACTAAATTGAATACACAGTGGGAAAAGCATAGGTACCCTAAAATACTGCCTGGGTCAGAAAGGAACCGATCGACGGTGGGGGAGGAGCGAAGCAGTGACCTTTACCAACTTCTTTCACACAGAGCTGTGGAACAAAGACACTGGGCTCGCTGGTCCTACATGCATCTGAAGCTTCATGGAAGAAGTTTGTGCTTAAAAGAACGTTAAAGATGAATGGACAAGGCAGCCAAAAGAAGGAAAGAGAGAGAAGATAAAATACCCCCTCAAAAAAATCAAAAAAAGAATATAACTACAGAGGCAATCAAAAGCATCCATATAGTTATAATACATAAATTTTCGGGCCGGGGATTTAGCTCAGTGGTTCTGCTGCCTGCCTTGAAAACCCAAGGTCCTGAGTTCGATCCCTGGTACCAAAAATAAATAAATAAATAAAATTTCCATGCCCTACATTAAAATAACAAAACATATGGTAAGAGTAGTTAATATCTTATTAAACACTTTCAAGTTTTGCAAGGAACCCCATAAATTATTTACTGTGTGTGACACGGGAATGCTACTAGATGTCCAGTAAAATTTAGCATAATGATCACAGCATTTTCTATGACATAAAGTCAGATTGCACTGTTTATATACAAAGGTAACCATTTATTATTTATTTTTTAAGACAGGGTCTTGCAATGTACCCCAGGCTGGCCTTGAACTTTCAACAATCCTCCTGCCTCAGCCTCCCAAGGGCTAGGATTATAGCCATGCACCACCATGCTTGGCTACAAAGGTAACTACTTAAAACAACAAAATCTGGGCCGGGGATTTAGCTCAGTGGTTTTGCCGCCTGCTGCGCAAGCACAAGGACCCGAGTTCGATCCCCAGTACCAAAAAAATCCCCAAAAAACAAAATCTGAATTACCCTTAGTGAAAGTCCCAAATTCTCTGCTCCCCGAAGATCCATGTCCTTGTCGTACTGTCCAAGTTCATAAAAATAGGGCCTATATATAGCAAAAATTCCACCAGCCATTGCAGGTGACCTGGTATAGGGACATGAAATATTATAAACAGATGCTACAGAGACAATAATCATGAGTTTTCCTAAAAATTGTTTTACTCTTAGTGAAACTTACAGTTAAAAATTAGAAAACAACTTTATCAATACAGTGGACCCTTGATTTATGAGCTCAATTTGTTTGCGAGGTTTTAACTCAAGTTGGTTGTAAGTCAAGACTATTTTTCCCATAAAAAATAATGGAAATACCCATAATGCGTGCTAAACCTCCCAAAGCACCCCTTAACTTTTTCATAATAAAAATGGGTTGTACAATGTATGTAATTTACCAGAAACACCAATAAGTTTCCTAGTGTATTCACCAAAAAGTTATAAAATGTGCCTGGTTTACCAGAAACAATTTCATACTATATTCACCATTCAAGTTGACATCTTTGGCTTGCAGGAAGGGAGCATGAAATGGAGGGTGGTTGTTTGGAAGGTCAGTACCCTTCTGTAGGAACATCAGGAATCTGGTTCTGTGGTGTCCTTTGTCTCCTTGGGAGAGTCTGTAGCCCATTTGGACTTGCTTCTGATCACTAGGTCTCAACCTTTTCAGAACCAAAAACTGGCCTAAGGCTGTCTGTTCCTGTCTTTTCTTTAACACTGTTCTGTAGTATGACATGACATTGTCATTAAGCAAGTGAATGCAGTGATTGGCCTTTTCTCTGTCTGGGTGGGTCTTCTCTACAAATGTTTGTAGCTCTGTCCCTTTTTGCAGGGTTCCCTTTATTTCAGAACTTTGCTGCACTGATTGTTGATACTCCCCTTCTTCTTCAGAAAGCACCTCAGCTGCTACTCTCTGTTGCTCAGCCAGAAGTTGCTGAAGTTCCTCTGAAGACAGTTCTTGAGTGTTCTTCTACCTGTTCCTCAACATGACCACTGGCTACCTGCAAGCCTATGGACTCTGCTAAAGTGACAATGTCATCAACCACAGGATCAATTGAAGACTCATGCTCCTCTCTATACAGCCTTCAAAGTCTCTCCTGTATAATTTTAGGCCACTTTCTTCTAGGCAGATCTCAGTGTCCTTAGAGAGACATTGACCCAGGATTTCTCAATTAACCCCACACAGGAAATGGTGTTGTAGTGTTCCTTCCAGAATTTAGGAAGGATTAAATATGTATCTGAGATCTGAGACCATTTGGAAGCACTTCAGGAACAGTTCCTTGGTGTGTAGCTTTTTTTTTTTTTTTTTGGATACCAGGGATCAAACTCAGGACCTTGCACTTGCCAGGCAGGCATGGCACCACTGAGCTACATCCCTGGCCTGTGTATAGCTTCTTAAAGTTAGCTGTAGCCTGCTGGTCTATATGCTGCAGTAGAGGAGTCATATTAGGTGGGAGGAACTTGACTGAGAGCCATGGGAGTTCTTCAGCCAATTCTTCTTTCAAATCTCATGGGTGAGCAGGAGCACTGTCCATGATGAGGAAAGCCTTGAGTAGTAAACCTTTGTCCTCTAGATATTTCTTAACAGCAGGACAGAAAGCCTCCCTGATCCACTCAAGAAAAAGTACTCTTGTTACCCAGGCTTTTTTTGTTAGATCTCCACAGGACCCCTAGCCTATTCTTCATGACTTTATGTTTTCTGAACACTCTAGGGGGTTCAGTGATAAACTAGGAGAGGTTTTATCTTGAGGTCACGACTCCCGTTGGTACACAGCAATAAGGTTAGCCTATCCTTCATAGGCTTATGTTCCCTGGCGGTCTAGTGGCTAGGATTTGGTGCTCTCTTCTTCATAGGCTTGGGGCCTACCATTTTCTTCTCTTCCTGGATAATGTATGTTCTCTTGGGCATTTTCTTCCAGAAAAGGACAGTTTCATCATGGTTGAAAACTTGATGAGAGCAAAAGCCATTTCTCTGTGTCATCGTTTCGAAGCAGTGTATGTAATTTTCAGCAGCCCTTTTATCAGCACTGGCTGCTTCACTATGCCTAGTTACACTATGAACCACAGCTCTCATTTTAAAATGGGGAAGCCATCCCTTACTGGCATGAAATATTTCACCATTATCACTTGTTGATTGATTATCCTTTATGAGATCTGCATTTATAGCCCTAGCTTTTTCACAAATCATAGACTCAGATAGGCTATAACCTGCCATCTGCCTTTTGTTTATCCACACTAATAGCCTTTCTACCTCATCTAACACTGTTGATTGTGACTTACTAGCACAATCTAGCCAGCAATACTAGCTTCCTTATACAAATCTTTTCTAAGATTGTCAAGATGGTAGATTTCAACATGCTTGTACATATTACCACATTGGTCACATAAATGCTACTGTAATATTTCTCCACAATTTCCTTCTTGTTTTTGATTGTGATTGCTTTCATTACCTTCCCTTCCTTCCTTAGCATCTTTTCTAGCTTTTTGGGGGCCATTTTGATAGCAGTAATTGTAGCAGTTATATAAAGCATGGATTGAAATCACGTCCACAAATGCATGAATCTGGGCTCAGACTGATGCTTACCTATACTTTTCTAGCATTTCAAATCTTTGTTTACAACCACACAAGTGGCTGCCACTCGGGTCATAACTCAAGACTTTGATCATAAGTTAAAATTGAAATTCTTGGGCTGGGGATTTAGCTCAGTGGTTTTGCCACCTGCTGCGCAAGCACAAGGACCTGGGTTCAATCCCTGGTACCAAAAAAAAAAAATTGAAATTCTGGTCATAACCCAAGTTGTTCGTATGTGAGGCTCAAGGGTCCTCTGTACTCAAACTATCTTAAAATACATCTAAGTATGTAAAATTACTATATTAAAAACCACAACTACATAAGAGAATTGGTTCATTTAATCCCCTCACTGCCCTAAGAGGTGGGTCTTACTGTTATTATTGCCATTTTACAGATGAGGACACTGAGTCTGAGAGAGGTAATTGACCCAAATCAGAGATGCCTTAATACCCATTTTGAGCTACTATTCACTTCGTGGTGTGTGCACAGCACCTCCTGCTGGTGCCACTGTACGTGGCAGCCCTAAACAGCTAAAAGTGATGGTCAGTGTGACTTGAGTCTTTCACCAAAATGAAATGCTGCTCCTCAAAATACTGACAGAGCCTGTGTAGCATCGTAGGTCCTAGAGAATCAAAGCTTATAGACCATCTCTATTTGTGAACATAAATGTCAAATAACATTCTTATATATTAAGCACTAAGTGAGTCTACTGACAATGACTGATTACAGGTGTTCAGGGTTAGGGCAATGGGGAAGATGGTTAGGAATGGTGTTCTGAGGGATTTAAGATGTGTGCTAAACCTTTGAGAAAAGGGCCTTACAGAAGGGAGCAGAGAACCCAATCACCCTGAAGATGAAACCACGTAGCTGACTATACGATCTTCCTCAGGGTTCCTGCAAAGAGTACTACATTGCTTCTCCAGGAGCCCTTCCAGTTCTTAGTCTTTACTTCTTCCTTGAATAAAGAGGTAGAGTTGCAGGTGAAAGTCACAACCTTCAAATTTGGAACAATGAAGTGAGAATTAAAAGCAACTTGCACTGTTCTCACACTGAAAAACATAATTTCCAAAACTAGCAATATAGAAAAATCACATCCATCTCAACTTAGGACATTGCACATGGAAACCCTTGGATAAATATTTTATGTATGAATTTGGCTAAGATACCTGCTCCCTCCAGGCTAGCCACAGTGTGGGCATTTGGTACATTAGTAATATACAATTTGCCCTTGAGAACAAAGTTCTGAAGATAAGCATCAGAAATCAGAGAAGTACTAACTACTCTTGTTTTCAGGGGAGGGGGTTGCTTGCTTGTTTGTTTTCATTTATTTTTAGACATGGTTTTGCTATATAGTTCAGGCCTTGAACTCACTATGTTGCCCAGGCTGGTCTCAAACTCATGGCAACCCTCTTGCCTCAGCCTCTCAAGTACTAAGATTACAGGAGTGTGGCACCATGCCTGGCATATCCTGGTTTTTTGATCTAGGGTGAAATGTACATTTTCAATTGAAGAAACTTACCATCTACCAAATTCTAGTATTAAAAATTCAATCCAACATCCAGAGATAATATTAGCCAGACATAGTACCACATGCTTGTGATCCTAGCTACTCTGGAGGCTGAGGCAGGAGAATAACAAGTTTGAAGCCAGTCTGGGCAACACAGTGAGACCCTGTCTCATAACAAAATACATTTTTCTTTGGTTACCCAAGAAATGCAAGGAATAACCCTTGAAAATTATTTTTTGTTTCAGGTCCCACCACACAAAGGTATTTTCCTGTGATCAGAAGAAAGCTCACCGGATTGGCATAATCGGACCTTCTGGAGGGTGCATCTCATAAGAGAAAATGGTATCCCATTTAAATTGGAGATCCCAGTCAAAGGCTCCTCTCACAAGAGGAGAGAATGTGTACTGCAGGCTCATGTCGTCAATGACGTCAATGACGTCAATGACAGGGCACACGACCATCTTGGAGTCCCTGGTGATGGCAGAGAGCAGGGGCTCCAGCCACACTCTGTTGACCTCACAGTGGCTGTCGAGGAACACCAGCACCTCACCTGGGGGGGCAAGAACAGACTCGCCTCAGTGCTCAGAGATGCGACCCAAGTCCTAGCTTGATGTGCTGAGTATTTGTCAGCACTGCTTATGTGTTTGGCTCTTTGGTTATACTGAAGGAAACAAATTTGAAGACAATCATTGTAGCTCGGCCTTCAGTGATCTAGTTAATTTAGCAATTTAACTTTTGTGGAGAGGATGCCTTCTTAGGCATCAACTTTGTGCTTGGGATGCAAGGATGCCTAACTGGTTTTGCTCGTGGGCTCAAACACTAACGAGGGTCCGTTCTGCTCAGAGAATATGGGAATCATGGGTGGGGCCAAAGTACATTTGATGGGCTCAAATTGGAAAAGACCTCAAAGTTCAGGGATTCTCCTCAACTTTTTCTTCTGTCATCCCTTTTCCACAGGTCCCTCATTTGACATAAATTTCCCCACATAATTTTTTGTAAAATTCTCTTATAATCATGTGCTCTAAGTGAAGTCCATGTCTAGAAGACCAGCCATGTTTAGCACATGCCTGTGATCCCAGCTACTCTGGAGGCTGAGGCAGGAGAATCACAAGTTTGAAGCCAGCCTGGGCAACACAGTGAGACCTTGTCTCAAAATAAAATAAAATGGGCTAGGCATGTAGCTCCATAGTAGCGCGCCTGCCTACCACACACAAGGTCCTGAGTATAAGCCCCCACTACCCCAGGCACACAAACACAGAGACAAAGTTAGCTGCTCTAATTAAGCACTGGTGCTTTGGGGGAAGAAGCTGATGTGTTGTTTCTTTGTTTCAGTTTAGGCCTTCTAGAAGAGACCTCGGGGAACTGATTTAAAGCAACCCAAATTGTCAGCCCCTCTTCTGGGCGACCTAGACCAGGGGTCCCTACAAGTTTCCTCTGTGTTTCCAGCCCTCCCATCACCCACATCACCGCCTGAGCGCCACCTCCTGGCAGATCTGCTGGGCATTCGATTCCGTAGGAGCGCAGACCCTGCTGTAAACTGTGCATGCAGGGGATCCAGGTTGCCCCCTCCTCTGAATCATCTCAAAACCGTCCCCTCCTCCCCAGTCCCTGGAAAGATGGTCTCTCAAGAAACTGGTCCCTTCCCTCTGCCATTTAAACGTGCAATTATGAAGAAGCATGATTTTGACGTGGGCACACCCAGGACCCTGCCACATTCAAATGCAGGACAAGTCTCTCGGGTATGAACACGTGCGTCTCCCCTTCCTGCTCCAGTTTGGGGAGACGCTGCTTTGGAAATCACCCCTGGTGCTCTCCTGGCTCGCTGCAAGGAATGAACCTTTCTCTGCTCTTTTATCTCCAGGCTGAACTTTTGGTCATTTGCCTTTTCCTGCAGACCCAAAGCACAAGTCATTACAGCTCCGTGCCTCAGCTCGGGCACCCTGTGGGCAGCGTCCAAGCCACACCGCCAGACTGTCAGGCGGCAGTGGACACAAAGGATGAGAAAGGATTGGGGCGACAATGATCGGGAGGACCAGGGAATTGCTCCTGCCTTCTCTGAGGTTTTACTTTCTGTGGTTTCCATTACCTGTGGTCAGCTGCGGTTTGAAAATATTAAAGGGAAAATTACAAAAATAAACAATGCATGTTTTAAATCAGGCAACGTTCTGAGTGGTGTGGTAAAATCTCACACAGTCCCACTCTGCCACACCCAGCAAGTGATTCACCCCCTGTCCTGTGTATCCATGCTGTAATGCCACAGGTCAGCTGTCCTGGTGTCTCACATAGTGCTTGGGTTCAAGGAACCCTTATTTTACTTCATAATGGCCGAGGGCACTAAGCCACAGCATAAAACCCAGGGCAGATGACCCTGGTGCCGTTTGTCAGTACCCAGGGCACGCAGGAAAGCACACAGCACTGTGCAGATGAGATTAGCACTTTCTGCAGTTTCAGGAAACCACCAGGGGCTCGGAACGCATCTCCAGCTGACCAAGGAGGACAACTGCATAGGCTGGAGCACACTTCTGTTTGAGTAGAAGCAAGAAGGCCAGGGGGACAGGAAGTGACCAAGTTTAAGAGAGAGCAGGGAACTAATCCTGGGAGGCTATACTAGAAACACAGAGTCACTTCTCAATAATGCAAATGCCGTCGGCTCAGCAAGATGACAACGTCAAATATGAATGCACCTGCTAGCAATGTATGAAAACTCACATGGAGATCCAGTGGGGACAGTTTATTTCATATAACTTGATTCCGCTTAGGGTGGATAAAAATTAAATTAAAAAGAATAAAAGCACATGGACAGCACCTGGTAGGTGATAAATGAATCCTTGATTGAATGAGTGAATTAATGAATGCATTAATGATGGGTCACTGGCTGCTGTCCACACAACAAGGCTCCACAGCTTCTGATCTGGGAGTGTCTGGCTCAGGAAGCCCCCCCAACAATCACCGGGGTGGCTGGGGGCAGGAGGCAAAGGTAGGTAGGCAGATAGGTAGATGACAGCACAGGGAAAACTACAAGGAGAGATGGGTAGATAAATCCACAATAGTGGTCGAAAGCTTTAATATAACAAAATTAAATGTATGCATAGAACCTACAGCCACAAAAAGAAAATATGCATTTGTTAAAAATATACATAGACATTTTAGAAAATAGATCTTGCTTTAAGACACAAAGGAAATGCCAATTTCCAGCCACAGTACAATTAAGCTAATGGTAAACAAAAAGATCATTTTAAAAATCCCTTAAGTTTTTTTCCTTGGGTTTAGAAACTTTAAATTTCACCCCCCTCGAAAAAAAATCTGAATTAAAGAGGTAACCAAAAAACATTCCCAGGGACTGGACAATTTATAGAGTAATTTTATGTAAATTTTCCAAATACAGATCATGAGCCTTACATAGATTTTTAGGGGGAAAAAACCCATACAGTTTATTCTATGAGAATAAGAAGGCAAAGTATAAGAAAACAGTACAAAAAAAGAAAATCATAAAATAATTTTACTTTTGAACACATATGCAATGTGTTTGTACGGAGACAGAGAAGGCTGGGAGAGAGAATGTGTAGAGGTTAACACCTCCGTCTAGTGAGGAGAGGAAGACTTCTAATGGGGCTGGAAGTGACCCTGCCCTAAGTCCAGGCTCCCCCACCCCTAGTTCCAGTGGTTCCCCAGGGCCTTCAGCACCCAAAATGCCATCTCAGTGTTTGGGTCCAGGGAGCTCAGCCAGTGATGGGGCAGACATCATAACCCTTGCAAAAGAAGCTTCCATTTGAAATGGGAAACTGACACATTTAGAAGCAGTGTAAGGCTCAGGCCTGCAGACACAGGGAAGGTCTCCAAGAGGACTGAGACATCTGTGACCAGCCACTCACCCTTATCCCCCGCAATTCCATACCTGAAGCGTGCGCTGCTCCAATCATCTTTGCTCGAATCAGCCCCTCTCTCTTTTTGTTTCTTACCAATTTAACCTTTCCTCTCAAACTTTCCAGATAATAATTGAGCTTTTCTTTCAAATCATCTGGAAAAAACAACCAATACTTAACAATTTATAAACTGTAATGATGAAAATTAAAACAATTTATTATTATAATTGATTTCTAAAAACCATGCCATTGCACAGAGGTTCTAACTTTAGAAGAAATTTCTATGCTCCTAGTGAAATGTCTCTATTTTTTAAAAATCAATATTGAAATTTTAACAGAAAAAGTATGAATGACAGCACTTTGGTGCAATCTGATTTTGCTACTAACCACACAAACTGCATTGTAATAACAATGCTTTTAACTTTGTAGCGATCCTCAGGGGAGTTATTAGACTACTGAGCCTTAAATTCCTCATCTGTGAGAAGGGATGCCCACCATGTTCCTGGCAGCCCTCTAGGGAGATGAAGAAACACAACCCAGGACAGAACCTGGTACCCTAGAGTTGCTCAATATTTGGAGGCTGAGACCAGGTGAGATGGATACAGATGCCCTGGAGTTCTAAATCCCAAGTCCCAGGAGTGAGGAGCATTAGTTCATGGTTATTGTGGCAGAAGGCAGGACCCTTTTCCTTGTCTTTAAGAGTGCCATGGGCCTGCAGGGAGGGTTGCAGGCTGCTCGGCCTCATGGAAGGGTGGACAGCTTCTCAGCACAGCTTTCTGCAGACCTCTGTAGCAGCTGGACCAGGAGACTCTGGGAACCAGACCTTGGGTCAGATAAAGCCAGTGGCGGCTTGCTGGGGTTTTCAGAAGATGTCATTATGTTGCTAGCTGGTGATCAAGAGGGACTGGGATGACGGGAAAGGTGGATGATGGCAGGTCATGGACATGTCACTTGTGTAACTTAGTAGGGCCAGGTCACCAGGCCTTTGTTCCCTGCTACCCTAAGCTGAGGGAGTCCACTGGAAGAACTGATGGGCAAAAGCCTGGGATGACAAGCCTTGGTCCAAAAGTGTCCTGTGATCCACCATGAAGTCATTGGGAACTAAAGGCAGGTGTAAATACTGAGCCCCGTAAGAATAGCTCCTTGTGTCTGTGTTTGATGTTCTGCATGGGGCTAAGGCCAAGGTCCACGGGAAGCAGAGGCAGATGTTGGTCTGGCAGCACACTCAGTGACCCTGCTAGTCTCTTATGAAAGGGACCAAAGTGCACAATGAATGTATGAGCACTTACTGAGGTTAGGGACTGAAAGTTTGTGCTCTTCCCCCCTATACATTTGTCAAAATGTAATCCCCAGTTGGACAGTATTTGGGGATGGGGACTTGAGGAGGGGTCAGGTCATGAGGGTGGGGCCCACATGAACAGGATTAGTGCCCTCATAGGAAGAGGCCAGAGAGCTCACTTGATTTCCTTCTGCCATGTGAGGATATAGTAAAAAAGACATCTGTCTAAAACCAGAAAGAGGACCCTCAGTAAGAACCTGACCCTGTGGGCACATGGTCTCAGACTTCTCACTTCTAGAACTGTGAGAAATAAACGTTGCTTAAGCCACCAGTGTATGGTGTTCTGTAAGAGCTTTCAGGCTAAGACACTAGCCATGTCTCCAACTCATGATGAGGGTCCACAGGGCGGGCAGAGGTGGCCTAAGGTCCTTCTTGGAGCTGTATCCCCGGGCAGGACCCTTGCACTATGGGCTGAGCCCGTGTGGCTTTACTGTGACTTCTTGCCAAACATGCTCAGCGCTTTGAGCAGCAGAGGCAGCCAGGACAGCTCTCCACAACCTTCCCACGAACAAGACTGGAAATAAACAGTCCTGTGGCCCCTGATGTTGGCAATGCCCATGGGAGTGAAACTAATATGTGACAGGAGCAACCTGCAACATCTACAATTTCAGTGGAGTTTCACTGAATCACAGTCCGGAGCCACCTCTAGTCTCTCCCTACAGGGTGAACCTCCAGGATGTCTTCTTCCTCTGCCCGTTCTTCTTCTGGTTCACAGCTATCCAAGACCACATCGTTGCTCTGGCACTCCTGGCTTGCCTAAGGTTCACACTCAGTTGTAAAACAAACAACTGATTTTAGATTCTAAGAGTGCTTAACCAGATTTTGCGCTTATATCGCAATTCTTTTAAAACCAATAAGCCTTGAGGAATAAGCATTTAACTATTCATTGGTCCAATTAGAGTGTTTTCATGTATAGTATACCTGGATCAGGTCATTTCCTCACCAGTTCCACATATTCATGAGATAGGTTCAAAGAATGCCCTTCACAAATAGTTTCCTTTTATGCCTCTGGCTTTATGCCCACCCAGGCACCCCTCACCCTACCAACTCTACACTCATGCATAAGCTACCTGAAACACAGAAGTAGCCAAAACTCACCATGCTTTCTCTTGCCTCTAGGTCTTTACAAGGTGCTTCCTCTACCTAAATTCCCTCCTCTCCACCTGGATGACTCATCCTTCCATCCTCCATTTACAGGTCACTTCTTCCAAAGCCACCTCTAAAGATGAGGCTGGTACCCCTGGTTGACCTTGTGGGAGCTCCATCAGGGACCGGGTCCTCCGTGTCCACCATATGCACTGAGAGCACCCAACACCACACCTGCCTCCACACCCACAAGAGCAACCTTGTAGAAAAGGTGCTCAACTCACCAGGCAAGCACCACTTCCCCAGCAAGGGTGAACAGTCCAGTCGATGCCCCATCTTACCAAATTCGCTTCCATCATCCACCAAAATGATTTCTTCAAGGAGATGAAGTGGCGTAAGAGTCACAACACTGGACACTGTTCGAAGCAAGGCATTAAATTCCTCATTATAGAAGCAAATGATAACACTGGCAGTCGGTAGGTGAATTGAGTAATGGTTGTAAAGACATCTGCAGCAATAAAGAAGGAGAAAATGAATCATCTAAAGGACTTGAATGTTTGGGCTTTTGTTCAAATATCTTCCCTTATCTTCACCTCATCCTTAAATTGATGATTATGACAATGCAATGACAGGACGTCTAAAATCTAAATTTAAGGTGCAAAATCTTAACTTCTATGTTCTAATACTTTTGGAATTATTTACTCCTTCTTAATTGTTCTTTCCTGACACTATTTTGATAATTTAATTCTACTTTAAATATGGCCTAAATATAAATTATACCCATATTTTAGCGTTTGTTAAAATAAATCACTAAATTTATACACTGAAGGATCACATTAAATTTATTACTGGCAAGAAAGTAGACACATAGACCAATGGAACAATAGAGAGCCCAGAAACAAGCTACTGTGCTATGACCAATTGATTCTCAAGAAAGATGCCAGGAACACACTGGAGAAATAGCAATCTCTTCAATAAATGGTGCCTGGGAAACTGAATATCCCCACATACACAATGAAATTAGACACTCATCTCATACCACACACAAAAGTGGACTCATGGTACATTAAAGATGTAAACATAGAACTTGAAACTATAAAATCACTAGAGAGAATACAGGGGAAAGACCCATGACCTTGGTCTAGGCAATGATTTTTTGAATATGACTGCAAAGGCATGGCAACAAAAAATAAATGGGACTGTGTCAAACTAAAATCGTCTGCACAGCAAAAGAAACAATGAGGACAGTGGTGCAAAAACCCACAGAATGAGAGAAAATACTGCAAATGATACATCTAATAAGAGGTAAATATCCATATTCAATAGTGAGAAACAAATCACCAGATTTAAAAAAATTGGCAACCCCCTCCCCCATAGACATGTTTCAAAAGAAGACAAATCACCACTAGGTATAGGGAAAAGTGCTCAGTATCAGGGTAGTGGAAATTAAAACCACCATGAGATGTCACTTCACATGTGTTAAAATGGTTGTCAAAAAATGAAAGCTAACAAGTGTTGGTAATAATGTAGAGGAAAGAGAAACTTAGTACACTGCTGGTAAGAAAGAATATTATACATCCACTGTGGAGAATGGTGTGACCCAGCTACGCCACTTTTGGATCCAAGGGTATGGAATCAGTAGGCTGAAAAGCTACTTGTATTTCCATGCTCTTCAGAGCATTATTCACAACAGTCAAGGTACACAATCAGCCTAAGTGTCCACCACTGGATAGATGAACGAAGAAAATGTGGTGTATGTACACAATGGAATACTATTAAGCCTTTAAAAAGAAAGTAATCCAGTCATTTGTGATATGGATGGATCTGCAGGACATTACACTAAGTGAAAATGAGGCAGGGACAAAAACACACATAGTGTGTGATATCTCCTGTATTAGTCAGTTTTCCCATTGCTGGACAAAATACCCAACACCTACAATCTCCAGGAGGAGAAGTTTAATTGGACTCACGGTTTGGGGGTTTCTGTACTCCCAGGCAGCTATGGCCTGGTGTAAGGGCTTGATGGAAGAAAGTCGCTTGGTTCATGGCAGCCAGGAAGCAAAGAGAAGGGAGGAGCTGGGGAGGGAACTAGATCCTCCCAAGTCATGCCCCCAGTGGCCCCCTCTTCCAACCAGGCCCCACCTCTTAACAGGACATTTAGCTATGAAGTTGTTACTGGATGAAGCCACTAATGAGTATGGTGCCTCGTGATCCAATCATTTTCCAAAAGCCCCTCTCTGAACACATAGGACTTTTGGGGAACATTCTAGATCTAAACTATAACACTACAACCATGTGGAATCTAAGACACTTGAACTCCTAGAAGCAGAGAGTAGAAGAGTGGCTGCTGGGGGCTGGAGAGGAGGATGAGGAGATTGGGAAACTGTTGTCAAAGGCTATAAAACTGCCGTGAAATGAGAGAATACATCCAAGAGATCCACTGTGCAGCGTGTTGGCTACAGTTTGTAACAATACATCGTGTAACTGAAAATTGCAAAGAGCAGATTTTAAGTGTTTTCATCACATACAAAAAATAAGTGAGATGAGATGTTAATTAGCCTGATTTTAGCCATTCTACAATTCATACATATATCAAAACAATTTTATGGCATAAATACAGTTTTCACTTTCAATTAAAATTTTAAGAATTAAATTAAAGTCAAAGCTGAAATGGAACTTTCATTTAATGGAATAATATGGTTACTACAATGAAAGCTGAGAATCTACTTGGACTCCAGATAGTGTAGCTACTTCTAGCAATGAAAATATCTTTTATGTTGGCTGTTTTTTGTTTTGTTGTTTTGTTTTTTGGTACCAGGGATCGAACTCAGGACCTTGCGCTTGTGAGGCAGGCAGAGGTGCCACTAAGCTAAATCCTCAGCCCTTTAAAATATCTTTTAAATATAGTAAGGTTCTTTGTTATAGAGTTGAATTTCCTACTAAGTTAATATTTTTAATATTACAACTGCTAAGGCCACTTCTTTTCTAGGATAACTCTAAAGTTTTCATTTTTCTTAACAATTATGTGATGGAGTAAGGGGAACAAAGGCACTCACACTATTTTAGATGAGATTTAGGAGGAAGAAATGATGAGCAGAATTCATAACTTACATAAGCATTCAAAAATATTGACCTTCCTTTGTGGTAGTTAAATATTTGGTTGAGTAAAAAATTGTTCTCTAAATTAATTTCACATCATATTGTATCATTTGAATAAATTTAAGTCTTTTCCTTCTATTATGACCCAGATAGATTGTGTCAGTGTGTGCAAACATGACATCTCTTGTGCATGCCATAGCATGAGTGGTATTTGTGGCTTCAAACATCTGTGTTGCACACACATCACAACAAGGCAATATGACCCCACTTTCTATTTCCTGGAAAGCGGTGTCTATCTCCATGTTACTGGAAGAAATCTATATTCCTTAACTTATATACTTTCCTTTTGTATGATCCTTTTTTTGTTTGGTTTTGCTTTTTTTGGTACCAGGGATCAAACTTGGGACCTTGTGCTTTCAAGGCAGGTGCCGGAACCACTGAGCTAAATCCCCGGCCCTATACTTTCCTTTTGTTAAAGGAGACTGTCAATCCCCTTTGCCTGGAAACCTTTAGAACCTACATGATATTTAAAAGACATTAACACATACATGCTACAGCCTTGAGGACATTGTACCAAGTGAAACAAGCCAGTCAGAAAGATGACAAATGTTATATAATTTCATTTGTTTGAGGTCCCTGGAACAGTTAAATTCATACAGACAGAAGGTAGCATGGTGGTTGCCAAGGTATAGGAAGAGGGAAAAGAAGACAGAGTTGTTTGTTGGGTTCAGTTTTGATTTGGGATGATGGAAAATTCTGGATATGGACAGTGTTATGGTTGCACACCAATGTGAATGCACTAATGCCACTGTGCTGTACCTTTAAAAATGGCTAAAATGGTAATTTGTATATTATGTGTGTTTACCACAAACTTTTCCTTTTTTTTTTTTTGGTACTGGGGATTAAATTCAGGACCTTGCACCTGCAAGGCAGGTGCAGTGCCACTGAGCTAAACCCTGGCTTACCACAAATTTTTAAAACAGTCATCAATAGAAATGATGGAAGGAACAATGAAACTGAAGTAGCAGTTTCACTGGATGAGGAATTTTCCCCCTCTTCATTCATTGTTAAGATTGCTGTGATTGGTTTGTCCTCTGTTACGGTGTTTTATTCCCCCAAAGGAATTTGGGGAGGAGGCTTTCAGCCCTGATTCTCACACCTTCCCTAAATCTTTCTGTTAGGACAGAACTTCCTGTATGACAGAAACTACCTGATTGTCAGCTGCGGTGGATTGAAGGAACAATGAAACTAGAAATGTAGCAGATGGAAGAAAAAAATTAGGTAGCTGTCTGCAGTATCTTCTATTGGGATGAATGCTCCTTTGGCCAGAAGCCCTTATTGTTGATTGAGTAATAAGACCTGCAGGTGACTTAATTCTTGGAAACCTCTGGAACACTCTGTGCTGATGAGAATGTGCTGTCTCTTCACTCTATACCTTAAAATCTTGAAAAAGGATCTCAGTATTATCAGACTTGAAGTCCTAAAAGTAGGACTCTATATCACAAGACCTCTAATGTGGTGAAGTTAAAATCTGGTTAGTAACTGGTTTTTTTTTCTTAATTGTAGAAGAAACACACCTTTTATGCCTGGTGTCTGGCACCTCTCTCTCATGGCCCAAACTTCTACTGACAATGGCATTAAACCCATATTTTAAAAATCCATCTACAAGCCCTGGATCTGAAAAGTTATCTGCAAGAAAAGGTAATTAGAGTCACATAAGTAAAGTCTATTATCACAAAGATGCAACACAACAAGAACAACTCTATCCAGAATGTACACCTTTTTATAATGAAGTAGAGTTGTTTTTCTGGAATTGAATCTACCCCAGATGAGAAGGTTAAAGGTGGAATCACAAAGTATTTACACAAACCAAATGTGTTAATTACTTTTCTCTCATTACTAAGACAAAATACCCAACATCCAAAGTTGAAAGGGAAGGGGTTTATTTGGCTTACAGTTCACAGAGGTTTCAGTCCATAATCAGCCGACTCCAAGGCAGGAATGACAAACAGGCATTGCAGAGGAGAAAACAATATGGCATGCACAAAGCAGCAAAGGTAACAATGGGGATTAACAGCATCTTTCTGCCCCTTTTATCTTATTCAGACTACAGGGATTAGGGTGGTGCCAACCAATCACTCACATGAAGTGGTTTAGTAATCACACACCCTTAACCCCAGTATCACACATTCCAGATTCAACTACTTCTGAAAAAGTATACCTCATCCATATGAGGCTTTGAGGGGACATCTAAACACAAACCATAACACCAAAGCAGATGTTTTAATAAAGTATAGTCATTAAGTCTTCGTGGGAGGAAGTTGGTCAATGTCCTTGGTGCTATCCCGATTGTTAATTGCCTTGGGAAATCATCACAACAGGAATATTGAGGGAAGGTGGGAGAATCAATGCTGAGAGACTCCTTCCCAAAGCCCATCAGAAGAAATGAAATCCAGTGACAGAGGACAACCCAACCACAGAGACCTTAACAATGAATGAAGACAAAATTCCCCATCCAAAGATACAGCTTCTTAGGTGGGAATAAAAAACAAAACAGAGTCTTAAAAGAGAAACAAAAGGAACCAATATAATTAAAAGGAAAAGAATGCTCAAAGAATGTAGGAGTCAAAATACCATTTCCAGAAGTATACAATTCACTGGAAGATACAGAAAGTCATTTTATACCAATAAGTAGAAATCACAATGGAGATTTAATAATTATGACATCACATATGCTACAGCAAAACAAAGAAATATCAACAGGAACTGCCACAGATAAACAGTAATGGGATAATTTAAGACCAACTCTGAATTAGAGAAAAAGAAAGAACTCAAATAGTATAAAGAATTCCTTCCTTGATGGATATGTATTATATTTCATCTTCTAGGGGGTTAACATTTTCCCCTCAATACCCAAGGAGTATTTTTGGTAAATTGTTATAAAACGCTACAAATAAAAGAGGATCTGGTCAAGATGGAGTAGCCTTGTTTCTCTCAGTTCCCATTTCTTACAACTAGAAAAGTCCTGTGTCCAGTACAAGAGATGAAAGATGAAATAAGGAGACCAACTGCCCAAGGGCTTCCTGGATTTGTGTATGGCTGCCCATGAACCTCAGGCAGGGGGTGGTAGAAGCCTCCAACTGGATTCACCTGTAGGCAACGACCAAAACAAGCTCCAAGACAAGCTCTCAAGATCCTCCATCATGCAAGAGCTAAAAAAAGGGTTGCTTAGTGAAAGCCTTGGCAACACCTGCTCTGCCTGCCACCCTCTACTCCAACAACAACTCTCCTCTCTCAGGCCCTGTGGTGTCAGGGGGCTGAGCAGGACCCGGGCTCCCATCATGCAGAAGCTGCCATCTTTGGTTTCCTCCTGGTGGAGCCGGCAGGCCAAGCAGGGAGTTGGTCCTCTGCAGCTTCACCTGGTGGAAGCAGGGGCTTCCCTGTCACCTCACAGTGTCACCAACAGGTTGAGCCAGTGAGTCGGGACCCTATGGGGACCTGCACTTCTGCCACTCTTCCCACCCTAAGCAAGGAAAGGTACAGGCACTGCTGTGGACTGGGTGGGGCTGTGGGCCCAGCAGGAAGCCAAACATACAGACTCAACAGGTCCTCAGGCCACATCTCACCAGGGGGCTCCTTACTGAAAAGGGAGCCTCACAATATCCCAAATGTCCAGGACCCAGTGGAAAGTCATCTGTCACAGTAAAAACCAGGAAGATCTCCGAGTAAATGAGAAGACAAGCAACAGATGCCAATGCTGAGGTGAACCGGAGTGGGGAGTATGGGACTGGGGTTAACCCTTCAGTGGTCACGGCTGATCTGAGAAATACAAACTCTGTATACCCACAGTCTCTACAGGGTTAAAGCATCCATCATAACAGTACTAGAAACACATGGAAAGAAGGAGAAAAAAAATAGGACAGAAACAGTGATACGGAAAAGTTTTAGATGACTTAATAGATTGAATATTAAGGTAGCTGTAGAAGCAAAATAAGTAATGTTTCTTTTTTTTTTTTTGGTACCAGGGATCGAACTCAGGTCCTTGCGCTTGCGCAGCAGGCGGCAAAACCACTGAGCTAAATCCCAGGCCCATGTGTTCTTTTAAGATTTGCTTTTCCTGTAACTCCTTCTTTAAGGTGAGGATTATCTGACTCTAACTGGTAACTTCATTAACCTAACAAAGTTACCATGCCAGGGTGAATTTACAATGTATATGGCCTATCTTGTGTCTGTGACTTGTAAATAGGAACTGGAATTGTATTTACATATCAAAGACCACTAGGGATGAGATAATGGCTAAAAAGGATATAAAAAGGGAAAATGCTTAAAAAAAAAAAAAGGGATATGCTGAACAAAGGGGCTGCGGATATTGACCACACTGGTTTCTGGCATTCCCGCCCGCTCGCGAGAAGAAATTTTATTATTGTATCTGAATTCTGTGTCTCTGTGTATTTCTTTCTGAGATTTCTGCAACAACAGAAGTTTAAAAAAGAGAACCAAATGGAAATCATAGGACTAAAAACTACAGTAAATCTAAATGAACACATTGGATGTGTCCCATAATAGCATAGTGGCAATAAATGATAGAATCAATGAGTTTGAGGACAGATCAATAGGACTTACACAAAAAAATGACAAAATAAAGTGCAAAAAAAGTGAAGAGATTCTCAGGGAACTGGGACAACAAGAGAACTGAATTTGTGTGACAGGAAGTACAAGGGAGAGGAGAGAGTAGGATTGTAAATATTCTGAGGATTAATGGCCGAAGGCTTCCTGAATTTGGTGAAAGATGGAAATCTACAGATGCAAGAGGTTGAGCAAACCCTTCAATAGAGTAAGCCAAAGAAATCCAGGCATTACAATGATGCATACACTATGGTGAAACTTCTGAAAGCTGAAGGCAAAGAGATGATTCCAAGCACTGAAAGAGCAGAGCAGCAAACAGGAAATCCCACACTCAGCAAAAATATCCTCCAGGAAGTATAAGAACATAAAGAAACTCTCAGATGAAGGAAAAGTAAGATTCGTCACTGGAAAACCCTCTCTTAAAGAGTAGTAAAAGGAGGCACATACCTGTAATCCCATCACTCTGGGAGGCTGAGGCAGGAGGATCACTAGTTTGAGCCCACTCTGGGCAATTTAGCAACTTAGCAAGACCTTGTTCTCAAATTAAATAAAAAATGAAAAGGGAGTGCAAAATAAATAAAAATTTGAGACCCTATTCTCAAATTAAATAAAAAATGAAAAGGGAGTAAGTCAGTGCAAAGGCCCTGGTTTCAAGTCTCAGTACCAGGAAAAAAAAAAAAAGGAAGTTCTGTAAACAAAAAGGAAACGAGAAAAAGGCTTAGAACTTTAGAAAAGAAAAAAGAACATCAAAATGGGCAAAAATAGGAATAAATATGATAGAATATCTTTCTCATAACATTTCTTAATATTATCTGATGGCTGAACCAAATATTAAAACTCTGTCTGGTGTGGTGCCTAGGTATACAGGAAAAACATGGTAGAGAAAAAACAGAGAATTGTATTTTAACTTGGGGGAGGCTAAGGGACTTTAGTTTTGACATTTTCCTTGAAGTGGCAAAATATCAACCTCAGGAGACTGGTAGGTTCTGTATGTATAATGTGATACCTAGAACAAGGACTAATAAAAACTATGCAAAGCAATGTATAAAAATCACTAAGTCAATCAATGGAACTCCAAAATATATTCAAGTACCCATAGGAAGGCTACTTTGGAAAACTTTTTCATTTTCTTTATATAACATATGACCCAGCCATGCCACAATTAGATATTCACCTAAGAAATAAAATAATGTCCACATCAATATTCACAGCAGCATTATTTTTAACAGCCAAAAGCTGGCAACAACCCAACAGGTGAAGTGATAAATAATTTGTGGAATACTACTAGATCATAAAATAGAATGAACTGTTGCTGAGCAGCAGTAGCAGGAGTCTCAAAATAATTAGGCTAATTGAAAACAAGCCAGGCAAAATGAGCACATAGTTTCTGATTCCACTTATATAAAATTCTATGAAATACATACTAGCCTGTAGTGAAATTTTAGGGTAATGTAAAATACAAAGAATAAATATTGCTAGGTGTGGTGGTGCACACCTGTAATCCCAGCTACTCAGGAGCCTGAGGCAGGAGGAGCATGAGTTTGAGATCACCCTGAAGAGCTTAGACTCTGTCTCAAAATAAAAAATAAAAAAAAAAAGGACAGATTATTTCCTGGGTTCCATCCCCAGTAGCACAAAATAAATAAATATTAATATTCTAAGATATCATGTTACTATGCTCATATTTTTAAAAGCAATTGGAGGAGCCGGGGATTTAGCTCAGCGGCTCCACCACCTGCCTCGTAGGTGCAAGGTCCCAAATTCAATCCCTGGTACAAAAAAAAAAAAAAAAAGTGATTGGAAAAATCAGTTTTCCCATTTAGAACTTGGAGGCCGGGTTATAACTTGAAAAAGATTTTTTTTTTTTGGTACTGGGGATCGAACTCGTGTCCTTGCACTTGCGCAGCAGGCGGTGAAACAGCTAAGCTAAATCCCTGGCCCTTGAAAAAGATTTTTTTGAAAAAGTTCTGGCAGTTTGTCAGAATTTAAAAAACTGTTCCCAAGCCAGAGATGGGGTTTAAAAAGTCCTAATATAAACAAAATGTTTTGGTTCTGAGTTGTTT